AAAGTGTTGGTATTGATTTTTCTAGGTCTACGTTGAAATCAATGCTTCCTACACGCAACATTTGCTTTGAATCACGAAGACAATATGCAAACACACTTAACGCACTATGGAATTCTGTACTTTTTAACGGGTGGGTACTTTTTTCACCGTTTTTCAAAATAAAAAACCGATAAATTCAGAAAATAAAGGCGCTATGTGCATGATAAATTCTTTAATTGCGCTTTCTGCTGTTGCAAGACACGTAAAAATTAATGTGTGTAGAAGAACCATCTAACGCTTGAACAACGTTTTAACACCACTAGAACTAGAACTGTCCAAGACAAGCCTAGACCTGGTCAACCAAGGGCGACAACTCGAAGTCAGAAGTGGGTATTTTCAACACCCATGTACAAAACCTGTTCCGACTAAGTGCATAGACTGTCAGGTACTTGGGATTATCTTAAAACACCATTATTAGACATTTATAAGATCGTGGATTACGTGATTATCGCCCTTTGCGTGGAGCCATTCTAACCCTGTTTCATTGAACAAATCGACAGATTTTGGCACAACAATATTGGCAATGAAACTAAAGACGTTGGAAAAATGTTCTTATAAGCAATGGTTAAGGTTTTTAATTCGTCGCATTGATGGAAGAGAAAAAGGTTTTAAAAGAAAAGGAAAGAGATTTCCCAAATCCATCGTCCCCCAAGAGGCCCGAATCGGTGACTGAAATGTGATGGTATAGGGTGCAATCTCAGCTCTTTGTCGTACACATTTGGTTACTTTTCAAAATAACCTCAAGAGACGACGGTATTGTGACAAAATTCTTCGTTACAGTGACTGCACTACATATCACGGATGATGGAATTTGCTAACAAAACAATGTCCGACCACAAATGGCTACGATCATTGAAAACTCCTTCCAAACTCATCAAATGGTTGTTCTGGACTGTCCCGCAAGACCAACAAGCCTTAACCCAACAGAACATCTGTAAGACGGCCTTGACTGGAGGATTAGAAACAGGCTGAACTCCGTATAAACTCGTCAGGAACTGAAGACTGCACTTCACTAGGAATGACAGGGGATTCTTCAGACAACCATAAGGACATATTAATTCAGTCAACGAACAGACGTTTTGTATCAGTAATTCAAGCTGAAAGAGGCCACACGCTATACTGAGCAAACTTTGATTTGGATTTTGCAAGGGTCAGTGTG